GGGGGGGGGGGACTTACGATTTTTATAGGAAAAATTCCGAAAAGATAAAATAGTAAAACTGTAGTTTAGGGGAATCAGCTTCAATTGTCTTGATCTTGATATATGTTATAGAGGGCATTTTCTTGAATTACAAACAAGAGATCTTAGCCGTCGCTCATTGTGCTAAAAATTTATTAACAAAAGAAGTTCATAAAATGAATGTATTTTTTGGTTATCGTATATACAAAAACATCGAGTTTATAGGCTAAAAAGTGTCTGTTTCTAGCCGTGTGACTGGGGGCTACGCTCCCCAAATCTCCCGCACCGGGCCGGGGGAGGGGACGAAGTCTTTTGTGAGAAGTTCTCACTCTTTAAAAAATATATTTTTTTTCATAAATTTTCTAAGGTATACATTTTATATGTATAAAGTACATATACACATTATGAAGAAACTACACCATATTTGCGAAACTTCTTTTGTTTATAACTTTGAGTTTAAGCACAAAGGACTGCGTCTCGCCCCGGCCCAGTGCGGAGGGTTGGGAGGCGTAGCCTCCTAGTCATACAGCTAGAGACAGGCAACTTTTTTATTAATATCTCGGAAACACATTATAAGCGACTGTCATATAGTTGTATTAAGAAAAGTTACTCAGAATTACATTCTTTATAATATATTTCAAGATAAAGGTGGTTAAGTTCATCTAAACATTTATCGTTTTATCTTTTCGGATTTTTTCCTATAAAAATCGTAAGCCCTCTCCCCTTAAAATCTTGTATACGTGTCTTTTGTAGCTTTTTTGTCAAGTACTACAGAAAAAAGTCAGTTTTTTTGTGGAGTAGCACTTCTGAATATTTACCCGAAAGGACTAATTATCTTTACATAACGTGTTGATCTGCTGAAGAGTCGGCTCGTTGACTTTATTCGTTGGCAAGTCCGATATATTTTCATTGGAGTCTGACAGCCACAAGTTTATTCTCTTGGCAAGTTTCTTGTAAATGAACTTCTTGATGATACGAACCGAAATTTGGTCGAAAGTCTTGTTACCCAGATGCACGTTCGTCAAGTTCTTCATGTACACGTCGTCGAAATTGGACGGGTTGGCACTTGGCAAGACGACGTTACCATTGGCAATAGCGACCGCCTGGTGCTGCTGAATGATAGCGGTCGGCGGTACTGGCAGATCGGCGACCCAGTCGCCGTCGACCTCCTTCATGTTCATTTTTTTCTCCTCCTTATCGTTATCCTTGTCATCTTTTACGTCCGTCTTCTTCTCCTCATCGTTCTCGTTATTTTTGACGTCGTCGTCTTCTATATCGTTATACTGTGTAGAGGAATCTCCAACATTATTGTCATTGTCATTGTCACCCTGAACAACGACCTTCATCGTCCTATATGCGATCTCCGCCTCCTTCTCCTATTCCACGTCGTGAAAGTCGAATGCGTGATTCTTGGCCGGCACTACAACGTTGTTCGCACGCTTCTGCTGTTCCCTTTGGCACTGGTGACTGTCGTCCGATATTTGCTGCTGTTGTATCAATGTCACCAACATTGACATAATATATCTAAACCGAGCGTTTGTGGTGGAAAGATGGGTGGAAAGATGGGTGGATAGGTGGGTGGGTAGGTTGGTGGGTTTGTGATATAATGGTCTTCAGTCCTTATCTGTTCCGTAACTTATCATCGTAAATCCGCCTAAAAACCCAGATAGAAATGCGTGATGATCATGTTTCACCATAATGTGACTTCATATTATGACTTCAATTTGATACTTTTTTAGATCATTACGTGATCTCATGACATGAGCAGCAGATGCACACAAATGAATAAATGTATAAATTATGTTGCAAATTCTTGACATGATGTTGATTATTATTATTAAATGAGGTATTTTTGTGACATTATAACATGTCTACATTCTGAGGCGTATATGAACCCGCATCGGTGTCTATTCTTGTCCTCATGCTTGAAGATACATGAATACAATATGAGCTCAGAATGAACACATTTTTCTATCTGGGCATCCATGCATCCATCCATACACACGCGCGCACGCACGCACGTACACACACCCACATCCATACACATACACGAAAGAAGTGTAAATCCGACCGAACAACCTCCGCGTGATATACTTTGGATAATGCTAATGCAATACTATAACTTTCAGGTTTTATTATTCAAAAAATACTTAATGAAAACATACGTTATTATAGTGTTTTGGAAAGTTCTTGAGATAAACTACAAGAATATGTAATAAAAAGTAAGGGGTTCCGTTTAAAAAATTTAAGTTGACTTTGACGTGATCTTAACGCTTTCATCAGACAAATAGTAGCCTTCTATGGCCGCCTCAAAACCCAATAATTTTATATTAAACATTTTTTCTTAGAATGTATATTTTAAAAATATTGAAGTAAAAAGTTTTAAAATAAACACTCTGTATAATAGTTATATTATAATTATGTTGTACACTCAGAGGCAGGTATGGTGTCCCTCGGCGGGTCCGTATACGCCTGTCAAATAGTCGAAAGCGACAACAGGCGTATACGGAGGGCGTACTGTA